AAGAAGAGGAAAAATACACACACAGCGGAGAAGGCCAAGTGAAGCCCGATGCAGAGACTGGAGGGAGGCAGCCACTAGCCAAGGAGTGCCCGGGGTCACCAGAGGCTGGAAGAGGCATGAAGGACCCCCCTACCCTGTGAGCCTTCCAAGGAAGTGCGTTCGGCCCTTGCTGGCTCCTAGATTTTAGATTTTTAGCTTCCAGAGCTGTGAGAGAATAAATTTCTATCATTCCAAGTCGCCAGTTTTGTGATAATTTGTTATAGTAGCCTTAGAAAATTAATATAATCACTGAATTCTCACAGAAAAGCTATGTTTCAAAAGGATCCTGGAACACTAGGTTCTTTCCTATGGATCTCCTGGGTTTCCTGAAAGTGGGCGCGTCGTCCATTCTTCATGCTATTTTAAGGACTTTTGCTGCTGATTTACCACAGAGCCACCTCCGTCCTCTTGGGGAGGAGCCTTCCAGACCCACGGGTGGGGAGTGGGGCAGTGAACCCACCCCGCTCCCCTCCTGCACGCCCTCCCACCACATCGTAGCTTTGAAACTGAGTCCACACTCAGTGGCAGGTGTGGAAGGTACAAAGGAAATGAGAGTCAACAGCAAACCCACTCTGTTCCTGATTGTGACTCTTGTGTGGCCCCTCCATGGTGTGTGGTATCCCCCCTCCCTCTGGCTGTCAGTATAGGAGACCAATAGCCTGTTGTTGCTCTCATCTGTCCAGGGTTGGCTGTGGCATGTTCGCTGTCCCCAAAACCCTGGGGTAGGAATCCCTCCCTCGCTGCTGGGATGAGGAGGAGAACATCAGAGGCGCTCTGAGGCTGACCTCGTGGAGACTTTTCTCCACACAGAGCATAGGTGGTCACAGGCCTGAAACTGAAAGGGGCTTAGGTCTAAGTGAGAGACCATTTTCCAAAACTGGAAAGGATGATAAAGTGTATCATTTCTGGGGCCACCTGAGTGGCTTAGTGGGTTAAGCCTCTGCTTTTGGCTCAGGTCATGATCTCAGGGTCCTGGGATCGAGTCCTACATTGGGCTCCCTGCTCAGCTGGGAGCCTGCTTCCCTTCCTCTCTCTCTCTGCCTGCCTCTCTGCCTACTTGTGACCTCTTCATCAAATAAATAAATAATATCTTTTTTTAAAAAAAGAGTATCATTTCTGGAAATGGTAAGGGCGTGAGCAGAGTCCAGCCCAAAGGAGGGGGTCCTAGTGACTTCTGCAGAATTCTGAGCCTACAGGGCCCCTGCCCAGAGAAGCTACTTCCTGGGGACTGCCGCTTCTTTCCAGGCTTGCATTTGTCTGTTTCATGATGGTGCCCACGGGGAGCCCTGTCTCGGGGAACAAGTGAAAAGAAGTTTGGCCTCCCAAGAGTGTCTAAAGCCCACTCTGAGCGCCTGGACCAGCCCCAAGCCAGCATCTCCTGGCGTCAGGTGCTCCGGGCTCCCCGCGCCTTGAGAAATATCCTCCACGTGACCGCCAGGGGGCAGCCGCGCCCACAGAGCCTTCTGGCGCGGAGACTCGCAGGCAACACCCAGTATTTTTAGAAATCTCGATACCGGGCTCCGGCTCTGCCGAGGCCAAGTAGACACACCAGTGCCCCTTCTCAATCTCCAGACTCCGTTTTTTCATATTCAGATTTCTCCGTAACCAGCCAGTCGGCTCACTTAAAGAATTTGCCACCCCTTATCCATCCATTCTTAGCTTCCAGTACATGTCTTCTGTCTGCAAGCGCTCGTAGCCTCCGTTATCTCTCTTCGTCTGATTTCGTGTTTACATCTCATTTGTGCCCGCAGAGACTTCATCCGCTGATGTGGCTTTAAGATAGCGTGTAGTCTCCAGCGACCCACACGCACCAGCTGTCGTACTCCACGCAGCCTTGCCTGGGAGTTTAAAGGTTATGGAACCCACAGGAATGTTCTCTGCCTGTCGGCTCATTTCTAGCTCTTGCTGTGACTGCTGTTGGATTATGGCAGCGTCCTGAGGGGAGGTTGAAGTCCAGAGCCAGTGCAAAGGCAACCGTTCAAACCTTATTCTCATATTTTGCAGTTCGCCTTCCTTTTGGCTTGCTTTGCTCTTAATATATATGTGTGTATGTATATATATATATATACACATACATATAGATGTGTATATGTATGTGTATATATATATTTTATTCATTTATTTGAGAGAGAGCATAAGCCGGAGGGAGAGGGACCAAGGGAGAGGGACAAGCAGACTCCATGTTGAGCACAAAGCCCCAGGCAGGGCTCTTATCCCTGAGTCCCCAGATCATGACCTGAGCTGAAGGCAGACATTTAACGGACTGAGCCACCCAGGCGCCCCATCCCTTTTTTTAACGGCTTGGACAATATACTGGGCTACCTTATATCTTTCTAAGCAGATCTCTAGGTATACAAAGGAGGTGGTATTAGGATCCTTTTTCAGTGCAAATTGTCTGAAGTTACTAAATGATATCCTGTAAAAAATGCTCAGGTTTTACTTATCGTATGCAAAAGAATAAAATCAGTAAATTCACAGTCCCACCCTCCCCTGCAGTGTTCACTAAGTCTTGGCTCCTGTGGTGGCTAAGGGCGATTACCTATTCCACCTCAAGGCTTCTAGGAGCCCTTGACCTGGTAAAGCAGCTAGGGGCGGGCAGAGGGCTGGGGGGCAGGGTGCGGTCCAAAGACAGGGAAGCCGGGCTCCTGCGGGCTCCCTCCTTTAAGCAACCAATGACCTTGAGTGTGTCCTCGAACCTCCCAGAGTTCTAATTAACCTTCTTGGAGCTAACTCTTCAAGGGCCACTGTCCACTGACTGGCACACGGCCCGCCTACACCAGAGAAATTCTGAAGCCCACTTGCCCAGCCAGGCCAGGTGCATCCAGGAGACAAAGAGGTGGAAATGGCATTTCCTCATCTGGCTAATTTATGGCAGTCCCCGCTCAGCCCTCAGTCTCCTAAGAGGCTCCGAAGTCTGATTTGTCTGCATGTACCCTGGAGAGGTGGACCCTCACAACTCGTCCCAAGAGTCTGAGAAGCAGAATCGGCATAAGGTATGCGGCTGGGACGCAGGGTTTGGTGGCCAGGGGACCACATCCTGGGGACTGCTGCCAGTGAATTGGCCTGGTTGCCTGGTGAGGCAGCTGGCTTGCCGGATGTGCGTACCCCTCCCCCATGCTGCTCCATAGTAATTGTGACCTGGGGCTGGGGCAGCTCTTCTGTCCCTTCAAAGCTGAGGCTGTAAATCAGTGGTCTCTGGGTAGAATTCAACTCAAGGTCATGTTTTGTTTGGCCTGCATATTTTTCTTTTCTTTTTAAAAGATTTTATTTATTTATCTGACAGAGACGCAGAGAGAGAGGAAACAAAGCAGGGGGAGTGGGAGAGGGAGAAGCAGGCTTCCCACTGAGCAGGGAGCCTGATTTGGGCAGGGGGACCCTGAGATCATGATGCTTAGCCACCGTGCCACCCAGGCACCCTGGCTTGCATATTTTTCTTAAAAAAACAGAATTAGGTGGCAACATTTAAGAGATTTCAAATAAATATCTACATTTCCAGCTTCTCTTAAAACTCCCGGGGTCCATTAAGGCTGTGCCTGAATTCCCAGATGGCTGGCTTTGCTCCCTACACTCTCTATCTGTAGACATCAGGGCTGACTGCAGAGTTTAACTACCCACGGGCAATCTTATTTCCTAATTCCTGAGCCCCTGGGGCTGCCTCACCAGAGCCTTCAAGCGCCCACCTCCACTTCTAAACGTGTCCTAATGATCTGAAGAGCACACACACCACAGATTATAATGAAAGACTTTAATTTTTAAAAAGAACTTAACTCCTCCAAGGCATGTTGCCCTATCCAGGGAACACATAGAACATTCCATACAAAGTATTAAGGTCCCGTTTAATATTTTTTAAAGATTTTATTTATTTATTTGAGAGAGAGAGAGAGAGAGAGAGCATGAGAAGGGGGAGAGTCAGAGGGAGAAGCAGACTCCCTCCCGAGCAGGGAGCCCGTTGCGGGACTCGATCCTAGGACTCCAGGATCACGACCTGGGCTGAAGGCAGATGCTTAACCAACTGACCACCCAGGCGCCCAGAGATTCCGTGTCTAAAGAGCTCAGGACAATAGCCGGACGGGCCGATTGCTCTGGGCATATTCAACCAAATTTTAACGTATGGGCACAGGCATCTGAAAATGTGTGGCTTATAAAAGGATTGATGGGTGCTGAGGGGAGGGTGCTGAATATCCGGTCCCTTGAGGACCGGGAGGACTGCAGCTCATAGGACCTCCTTCTGCCTTAGAAGTCCCAAGAGTCCCAGTGGGGGGAAGCGCCAGCTGCTGGGCCTGGGGTCCCAGCCACCGTGCCTGCTCTGACTCACATCACGTGTCACATGCTCTCGGGGTTCCCCTCCAAACCTGAGCTCTAGGTCCACCTGCCTTCCCCGTGGGCAACCTGGGTCTGTTGGAAGCAGATAGCTCATGCAGGGTCCATGAGGGGCAAGCAAGTGTGAGACGGTTTCCAGCAGCCCTTGATCCCCGGAGATGCTGGGCAAAATGTGTCCATGTGCATTTTTCAGGTCCCGGGGATCGCAGCTTTTATTAGATTTCCAAAGGATTCGGACCCCAAGAAGCACTCATCATGGGGACTATAGTCGTCCAGGGCAGAGCTCTGCCCCAGAGATGTCCTAACCCCTGCCTCCAAGCTCTCCTGCAGGCACCACGGCCAGCCTGTGAAGCCAGGGCTGCAATCGGCTGCTCCAGATTCGTCCACTGAGAACGGCCAACGATGCTTGTGGGTAAGCAGGCCGAAACCACGGTGCGTGTTGTCTGCGATTCTCGAAGGTCAGGGAACTCCAAGTGGGTTTTCTTCCACTGCCCTGAGCAATGGCCCCAGCACCACATGCCTCCCCCCTAATTCTTTTCCTCCTCTCTCATCTTCGAGGGATGATTCCCAGAGAATCTTCTGTCTGATGAGGAGGAGAATGGCCAAGAAAACTGCTATCTCTGGGAGAGGGGGCAGAGCGGGGGGGAGGGGGGGACACTGTCTGAGTCGCCTGTGGTCGTCCCAACAGAACCCAAATCAAACATGACACACTCCTCATCTCACAGTTCTGGAGGCCCCAAGTCCGAAACCATGGTGTGGCAGGGCCACGTCCCTGTGAAGCCTGTAGGGGGAGACTCTCCTTGCCTCTCCCAGTCTGGCTGTGGCCGGCAGTCCTCGGCCATCCTTGGCTCACAGAGGGGTCACTCCAGTCTCCACCTGTCTTCACGAGGGTTCTCCCCATGTGTCCATGACCTGATTTCCCACATCTTATAGGAGTATCGGTCATAATGAATGTGGGCCTACCCCAGGGACCTCATTTTCACCTGATGACATCTGCAAAAGCCCTCTTTCCAAGTACGGTCACATTCACAGGGACCAAGGTTAGGACTTGAACATGTCTTCTCGGGGGGACACAATTCAACCACGATGGGCACATCGTCTCAAAAGGCCCTGTCCCCTTGATGCCATGTGTTACCACTTACCCAGACCCACTCTTTCTCTGGGGTTCTGGGGAGGCAGGTGCACCCCTCTCTCCCCTTGGCACCCATTCTGAAGTGGAAATTTTTTCTCCAGCATCTCAGTCCTATAGGAAGTGAATTATTTTGAGATTAACACGTGTGAGTAGGAAGTGTCTCTTTGTGTATTTCTGTGGCGCGTGTGTGCCTCTGTGGGTATGCATGTGCGTGTGGGTGTGAAAGTGTGTGTGTTTGGAGGGGGTATGTGTGAAGGGTTGATGTAGGGGAGGGGCAGGAGGGAGGGAGGAAGAGGAGGCCAGAGTCACTGTAGCAAGGGCGTTAGTGACAAGGGCAGAGTGGAATTGTCCTGTGACTAGGGCAGGGGGTAAGCTTGTGATAAATATGGGAGTATTATGCGTCTGGTCTCAGTCCTATAAAATAGGATACTAGTTCAGATACTGACTGTTATTTTGACAGGAACCAAAATAACAGGGGTCTAACGAAGGTCAGAGTTAGTTTGTTTCCCATAATGCCTGAGCTGATGGGTGAGCAGGAAGGCAGGGCGACACTGCCCCACGACGTTGCCCAGACTCTCGCTGCTCTGCCATCCCTGAGGATGCTGTCCTTTTCCAGAGTCACAGCTGGCTCACTACCACATCCCCGTCCCAGCCACTGGGAAGGCGGGACAAAGGGAAGTGGAGGACGCACCCTTTCCTTCTCAAGAATCCCACTTCTATGGGCCCAAACGTCACTACGTGACCTTGCTAGGACCCTGCAAGGGAGTCTGGGAAGTAGAGCTCTTCTCAGAGAGAGGCCGTGATCTCAGGACTGCTGCTAAAATCAACAAGGCAGGGACAGACACTGGGGAGCAGCTGGCAGTCCCCAGGGAAGGAATGGGACTGCAGAGGAACAGTGCTATGAAGCTAGCTAACCCCTCACCCTTTACGATCTGCAAAACACCCTAACGACATCGCTACCAGAAAGAGCACACCAGGCACGGGATGAGAAAAACCAGATCGCCAGGCAGAATCGGTCCGGCTTCAACCAACCGTGGGATCACGACAGAGGTTTTATCTCGGGGAGGTGCGTGCGGGGCCTCTCCACCGCCAGCTGGTTTTCGATGACGTAACACGCCTTGCAGCTCTCCAGGACGCGGGCCTGGAAGTACGCCTTGTCCTTCTCCTGCCAGGAGTCCGACTCGATGTACACGTTGAACGGGTCGTGGGAGTGCTCCAGCTTCTTGGAGCGGATGTAGCTCAGCATGATGCCCAGAGTGAAGAAGCCGAAGAAGCCCAGCACCATGAGGATGTAGAGCGCGGCCAGCTGGCCGTCCTCGCTGCGCGGCGACCTGCGCGCCACGCCCGACACGTTGCCGCCCGGCGCCCCCGTCCCCAGCCGCCACAGCGCCGTCAGGAAGGGCGTCAGCGCGGTGGTGTTGGGCGGAACCATCCCGGGCCTCTACTTTCTGCTGCGGGGGCTCGAGCTTGCCGAGAAAACGTTCTGAAAGAGAAGTGCAATCTGAAATCGGAAACGGTGTCGTGGCCCAGACCCGCGCGCACATGCGCATTTTGTGACCTCTCCGGGCAGAGGAGGGCCCGGACGTACACCCGAGTTCCCGGCAGGTGCCCAGTTGAACCTGCACAGAGCCTCTCTCTCTCTCTCTCTCCCCTTTTTTTTTTCTTTTTTAAAAGATTTTATTTATTAATTTTACAGAGAGAGCACAAGAAGGAAGAGAGGCAGGCAGGGGGGTGGGGGGGAAGCAGGCTCCCCGCTGAGCAGAGAGCCCGATGTGGGGGCTCCATCCTAGGATACTGGGATCATGACCTGAGCCTAAGGCAGAGGCTTAACCCACTGAGCCACCCAGGTGCCCCATGCACAGAGCCTCTCTTGACTGACCAATCAATTGATTTCCTTTTTTTTTTTTTTTTTTTTTTTTTTTTTTTAGGTTTCATTTCTTTTTTTGACAGCACAAGCAGGGGGAGCAGCAGAAACAGAAGGAGAAGAAGGCTTCCCACGGAGCAGGAAGCCCAATGCGGGGCTGGATCCCAGGACCCTGAGATCATGATCTGAGCTGAAGGCAGACGCTTAACCGACTGAGCCACCCAGGAGCCACGATTCCCTCTTATTTCCACTCACTTCTCCCACCGCCTACCTCCACGGGTGAGCGCCAGTATGAGCTCCTCTAATATACACCCTGGATTATGTGTGTGTGTTTTAGTTTATGTGCTATGGACCGAATTTAGTCCCCCAGTTCACATCTGGAAACCCTAAGCCCCAGTGGACTGCACCTGGAGATGAGGTCTTCAGGAGCTAAGTCAGGTTACAGGAGGCTGCACAGGTGGGACCCTAACCTGCTAGGACCATGGCCTTCTACTAAGAGAGGGAAATCTCCCTCTCCTACATGAGGACCCTATGAGAAGGCGACCACTTGCAAGCCTGGAGGCGAGCTCTCACCAGGAACCAACCCTTCTGGAACCTTGATCTTAGACTTACAGCTCCCAAACTGTGAGAAAACAGATGTCTATTGTGTAAGCCCCCAGGCTGTGGGATTTGGTCATAGTGGCCTGAGCTAGGATGGGTAAGTGGTACAGGGTTACATATCTGCCTCTCCTTCCTTCTCCTCCTTCCATTGTGGCTTTTTGGCCTTTGGCCTCGAAGGGCCAGAGTGTTCTAGCTTGTGCTGTGTTGGTCCCCTCCCTGCCCCCCTGTCCTGTGCTGAGTGGCTCTCACAGGCCATGTGGAAAGAGACAGTATCCCCATCACTTCAATCTGGATGTCGGCATCACCGAAAACCCAGAGAACAGGCCTGGGAACTGTGAGAGCTTATGTTTCCAAGAAGCTCTGGAATTCTGTCAGGGGGTTCATGAGTCACTGATAAGCTCAACAGGTTTTATTCATATCTTTGAGAACATGCTGGCCTCCATCCTGCCACCACCACCCCCCGCCCTCTAGGCCTCGCTGGGAGACAAAATACCCAGAGCCAACTTGATGAGGCCTCCCGTGAAACTGGACCCACAAGGGGCTACAGAGGGCTGACCAGATTCCCAGGCCTCACCCAATTCTCAGGGCTCTCAAAGCCATTGTGAGCAACATTCACTCAAGACACCTTGGAGTGGCTGTTGAAACTAAGGGTGACGGTTTGGGACCATAGTTGCTGGTCAGAAACCCCATGGAAAGAGAAATTCCGATGTACATGGTTGGGCAGGGTGGGAGGGGTGGTGCGGGCTCAGCCTCTCCCAGCTCGGGTGGGGGCTGTGACATCACACATTGTCTCACCAGGACTGATGTCAATCTAGAGCTGTTTCTTAGGACTGGCTTAAATTTTGCAACCTCTGAACAGAGCCCTGGGGGGAGATGCTTGGTACCTGCCCTAAGCCCCTCTCCCTCTACCTGTCCCTGGGATGTCGGTGCACCCCAGAATTCCTGTTGGCCCTTGCTTCTCACTCTGCCCTCTCCCTGGGTGGTTGCACCTGCCGTTCAGGATCCCCCACATGGCCATGACCCCAGGGGCCCTTCTGAGTGCCAGAGCTGGGTGCCCCATGACCTGCCAAGGATTCATATACTTTCAGCCAAACCCCAGGCCCCTCCACCTCAGCCACACCCCTCCTGCCATGCGCCTCAGTGAGCAGAGGGGTTGTGTACCCACCCCCCACCCCAAAACCTGTCAACCCCACTGCAAATACCAATAGATCGGTCCTCGGCTCAAAGGCCTTTCCAGGTTCTGCCCTACCTTTAGGGTGAAACACCCCATTTTCGGCATGGATATGGGGCCAAATGCAAGGACTCTGGCCTCCCCTCTTATTTGACTATTGTCACTTGCCCAGACGCTATGCTCCAGCCTGGCTGGCTGCTTGCCCAGCCCTGTACACATCACCCCCACTTTCCACGTCTCCAGCAGAGGCAGCCCCTCCTTCCTGGCCCACAGAACCTACTCATGCTTTTGAGTCCAGCTCAGCCTTCTCTGATGTGTGGGGCTGGCTTAGCACCAGCAAGCATGCCCATAAAGGCTGCTGTGCTCCCTGCTGACTTCACGACAGTCATCATCCCTGTCCTGCACCCTGTGCCCCGCAGCTTCCCTAGCCTGGTGCTTGGCACGCAGCAGCTGAGGAGCTGTCCTGAACTCCTTAATACCTCCTGATGGTGTAACACCTGATTCTTCATAACCTGAGTATCTAATGAACAGATGCTTCCACTGTCTCCCTCTGAGAGCCCAGACTCAGGGAGCAGAAGTGGAGGAGGAGAAAGAGACCCATTGTTGGAATTACACCTCCACTCAAGGTTTGGATTCTGGCCTTCCTGCTTTCCGGCTACATGACTCTGGTCACGTTCCTTAGACCTGTTCAGTCTTTTTCTCTTTGGAAATGGGGAGAAACATCACTGACATCTGGAGCTGTTGGATCACTGACCCAGCGTGCAGAGACGGCGATGTAACATAGGACACATGGCGGTGCCCACTTAGGGTCCTGAGGGTGAGTGCGTTGGTTTTTCCAGCTTTTTAAGAAATATCAGCCAGGACACCTGGGTGGCTCAGTTGATTAATTACCTGACTCTTGGCTTTGGCTCAGGTCATGATCTCAGGGTCGTGGGATCGAGCCCTGTGTTCTCTCCCCACCCCTCCTTCTGCTTGTGTGTATGCTTTCTCTCTCTCTCAATGAATAAATAAAATCTTTGGGGGGAAAAGGAGGGGGGGCTCAGTCATTAAGCAGCTGCCTTCAGCTCAGGATATGATCTCAGGGTCCTGGGATCGAGTCCCATGTTGGGCTCCCTGCTCAGCAGGGAGTCTCTTCTCCCTCTCCCTCTGCCTCTGCCTGCTGCTCCGCCTGCTTGTGCGCACTCTCTCTCTCAAATAAACAAATAAAAACTCAAAAAAAAAAAATAGAATGATGGTAGAAAACCTCCAGAGGTTAATTGGTTTAGAACCAATAGCGCCACAGAGCAAGTGAATTTAACAGTAACTTCTACACCTAATTCATATGTGTGGGATCACGGAGAAGACATGTTACTTAAAATGAGATGGACTTTCCTATGGCCAGAGGAGGTAACCAGAAACATCTGCGTTGAAAAACCTGGCAGGCCAACCATCCTCAGTCTTGCTTTAAGGTAGTGGTGCTCAAATTTTGGCACGCTTTAAATGCCTGCCTGCCTGCCTGCCTTCCTTCCTTCCTTCCTTCCAAGATTTATTTATTTTAGGTGGGGGAAGGAGCAGAGGGAGAGAGTGTCTTAAGTAGACTTTGCCCTGAGTGCAGAGCCCAACAACGTGTAGCTCGATCTCACGACTCTGAGATCAGGACCTGAGCTGAAACCAAGAGTCGGTTGCTTACCCGACTGTGCCACCCAGGTGCCCCGGCACACTTTAGAATCACCTTCTAAAAATGCAGAGTGTTGGGCTCCACTCCCAGAGTTTCTGATCTAGAATGGCTGGTGTGGGGTCTGAGAACTTGCGTTCCAACAAATTCACAGGTGCTGCTGAAGCTGCTGGCCTGGGGACCCCCGCCTGGTGACCTATGGGAATCATCTGGAGAGCTTTAAGAGAAGTACTGATGGTCAGATTCCCCCCTCCAAAGACTGTGCGGTCCTTGCTTTGGGTTCCTTTCTGGCATAAATCTTCCTAGGTGATCCTGATTTGTAGCTAAGGCTGAGACCTACCGGACTATGGCACCTTAGGAAACTGACCAATTTTTCATACTGCAAGGTGCCAGGAAGAATTTGATAAGAGAAATGATTTCATAAAGTACTTTTCAAAACCTCATTTGTTTTTTAGATTTTCTTTTTTGGTCTTCTACGTCCCTGATAGAATCTGAAGAGGAGACACAGGGAGAAATTCTCAAGTCTTCACCATAAGCCCAGCTGCTTCCCACCTAACTCACGCGGACACCTTAAATGATACAGCTTCCAAAAGACCCGAAAAGTCAAGTTCATTAACTGCCTTTCAAGTAATGACTTGAATTTTTAAAGAAAAAAATCTCCTTCTTACTTTACATTTAATTCATTGTATTGCTTTTGCGAAATGCCCTCTGTGCCCCCAAGGCCTGCCTGCTGGGTCACGTGGTGTTCTGGGTAATGAGTCTCAAAATGTGTTTGGCAATGCCCTCTTAATAATCAGCATGGTGTAAACGAACTCAATCTGCATGTCAGCTGGGGGTTTATGTCCCATTCTCCAAGTTCACTTCCATTATAATGCCAACGCACTGCCCAATGGCCACTGTTTCAGACCACTGGACTCACAGGGATTTGAAGAGCAACAAAGCCAGCAATTTTAACTTACAAGAAACTGGGCTCCACACAGTTCAGCTGACCTGCCCAAGGTCATGCCTCTTATCAGAAATACATCTCAAATGTAATCTTGTAGCCATGACCTCACATTTTATTAGTACAGAATAAGGAGTTCTCAGGACTTTGCAGAAAGGAGATGGATTCTAGAATTAAGGTCAAGGGAACTTGAGGACCTGGCCATTTATATCAGGTAAAACCAGGTCTACCCAAATGAGGACTGGCTTGGGACCCGAAGATGCCATCAGAAGACCCCCTTCCCTACTTTTTGTAGCTTGCACAGTGACGAGGGGGCTGGGGGTGGGTGGCAAGCAGCAGGAACCGGGGAGGTCCAACTCTAAACACAACCTGTTTTATGCCCCCACTCATGCTGAACATTCTCAAACTGGCCTTAGTGGGTCTAGAAAGAGAGGGCTTCTAGAAGCGTCTGCTTTGGCATGGGTTTGAGACTACACGTGCAGAACAGATACTGCCCCTAATCAAGGTTAGTACAATTTTCTTTTTTCTCCAAAGCTCACACATACCAACTGGGTCTCCAGTACCCTGGGATTGGAAGGTCCCCAGCTGCACCCAGAGGAAAAGAGGGCAGTGAGGGATGTCACATGGTGCTGGCACACATCACCCCCGTTTGCATTTCTCTCACATGTTCCAGCTCCGTGCGTTGTCAGCACTGATAACAGCCTGGAAGCTTTTAGAACAGATTTCCCAGCCCTGCCACCTTGCCTTCTTGCTCAAGCATTTACTGAGCAACGAAGGTTTCTGTGGGCTGACTCCGTCCATACTTCTGCTGAGAGTGTTAGATGCTGGGGAGGGGGTCGGGGGGTGTCCAATTCAGAGCCAGGAGATCTGAATTCAGGCCTCCACTGGGCCTCAGTTGACTTATCTTAGTAAACAGGCGTAACGTTCCTATCATCTTTTTTTTTTTTTTAACATTTTGTTTGTTTATTTGACAGAGAGACAGTGAGAGAGGAAACACAAGCAAGGAGAGTAGGAGAGGAAGAAGCAGGCTTCCTGCTGTGCAGGGAGCCCGAGGTGGGGCTCGATCCCAGGACCCTGGAATCAGACGTCAGCTGAAGGCAGATGCCTAACTGACTGAGCCACCCAGACGCCCCACGTTCCTATCATCTTAACAGCATTCTTTAAGCATTTCCTCAAAGAGCAGCCAGTCCTGACATCATCATTAGGCTTTACGTGCTTGAGGAAGCAGAATTAGGGCAAAGCCAATTATGGATTAGCCTAATTTGGGTAAATATGATCTTACTGCGTCAAGAATTCTGCAAGCATATTTTCCCTGGAAGCCACTGTCAATTATTTTCATCTTTATCTCGACAAATTCTGGAGACATATTTACCTCCAAGCAGATAAAAAGCCAACAGGGGCCCCCAGACCCTTCCAGGGTGTGAAGGATGGCAACGTGACCCAGCGAGCTGGTGAGGGGGACCCAGCCAAACTCAGTATGGGAAAAAGGACATGCATTTTGGCATGGAGAATGGACGGGAGGATTCCCAGACTCTGGAGGGTAGCTGAAGTCACACAGAAAGAGGGCAAGTGGACTATCACCTTCAGCAACCTAAATAAATTTGAGGAGCCTCAGTTTTCTTATCCAAAAACTGAGCATAATGGAATCTCCCCCGATTACACCACAGGGTTCTGTGAGACGTGGAACAAACCCATAACTTTGCTACCTCTAAATTTTGTTGCTCTCTCTCCAAGAGGGGCGTGACCGCCATATTTGCTTGTCAAAATTCTACTGGTCCTCCAAACGCCTAGTCCTATGCCAACCTGGGTGCAAATGCCCCTCTCCCCCTTTGATCACCTGGTGCCTTGACTGTACTGCCCATATTCTAATTTGTTTCACAGTGATTTATGGACTTGTCTGGGCATTTCCTTCCAGAAGCTCAGGAAGGTCAGAGACTGTCTTGCTCACCTTGTCCCCACTCCAGCATGCAGAACCGTTCTATAAGAGATTGCTGAATTAAATGGGGGAGGCAAAGTATTAGATTCAACACAAACGCAATGTGATTGTTGAGTGCAAATAACCAATGAAGTATAATACACTCGTGAAAGAAATTGGTAAGTAGCCAAAAGAAAACCTCTTTCAATATAGTCTGGTTTTATATAATAAAATGTAAACAATTTTTATTTATATTTATGTATTTTATTAGTATTATTTATTTTGTATATTAAAATTGATATTATTGTTATTATTATTAAGATTTTATTTATTTATTTGACAGAGACAGACACAGCGAAAGAGGGAACACAAGCAGGGGGAGTGGGAGAGGGAGAAGCAGGCTTCCCACTGAGCAGGGAGCCCCGTGCGGGGCTCGATTCCAGGACCCTGGGATCATGACCTGAGCTGAAGGCAGACGCTTAATGACTGAGCCACCTAGGGTTCCTAAAATTGGTATTATTAACATAGTTACATACGTATCCACAACCTACTTTCTTCCTAAAAAGGTTTAAGGCGGTCAGTACTCGTTGACAGTATGGCTGAATTTTTATCCCTTCTCCACTCCTGATAACCCCTATCCCGTTTTTTCTTTCTTTTTTCCATGTTACTTAAACTTTAAACTATGCTAATACGTTTTTCTTATTTATTATGTCCATTGCTTATTGTTTGTCTTCTCCACCGAAACTCAAGCTTTTGTGTGCCTGTGTTCTTCTGCATGCATCTCAAGGTCTCGATCAGCATCTGGCATACGGTAGGGGTGCGATAAATATTCATGGCATGCAGGTGGGCATACGGGAATGCGTGAATGAGTAAATGTCCCATTCGACTACCAGAAAGCCCCAACCACCAGCTCTACCGTCAGAGACTTAAGATGACAAGACTGAGTCCTCTGATGTCTTTACAGTGTACTTTTTTTTCAAAACAATCCAATTTCTAAGAGCCAGTCCAAAGCCAGACCTCCAGGGATATTCTTAAAAGGGAGAACGCTTTCCTCACAACCATCCCTCACTGGCCTCTGATGGGCTTATGAAACAGATCACAGAAAGCGGGTTTTGGCCCCCTCCTTAGCCATCCACAGATCAGAGTCAAGATGCTTTCTGGCAAGTCACCGCATATGAATTTAAACAGCTGTGCGATCACACCAAAGCTCCCCACCACCAGGATCGTAAATGACAGCAGTGGTTACTGATCAGGACTTTCGTTAGTGGAACTAGAAGCTCCTTCTTAAACCTAAATGGGGCCTCAAACAGTTCACATACAGCAGTTTGAAAAATCCGGGGTGGCTGGGGTTGGGGGTGGGAGGGAGACAATGTAACAGGTGATACAGATCCTGAACATACACAGAGCTGCTACTCGGTCAAGTTTCTTCCAGAAGTTCCCCAATTACTACAGTCAAGAGCAGATACCATCAATGTACTCCACGTCCCATGCCTTTTCCCCAGGGAGATGCCAAGGCCCAAGAACCTTCCTGGTCAAGAAATTCAAAAGTTCCCTTTGAGGCCGGATGTATCTGCAGGTACCGCCTGAGCTGGATGGTGGTCTTTGAAACGGAGAGGGGACTGGGATCTTGGGCGGTTTTAGTTTTCTTTGGGCCTTGGAGGTAGTTCCCAAATTTTCTACAAGAATGTCTGAGGTTTTATTAAAACGGGGAAATGTGGTTGTTCTTTGGTGGTAAGACCGGTCCCCACGCGTGCGCCTCTAAGTGAAGCCCCGCTGAGAGAAGAGAGGAGCGGGCCGAATCCTCCGTCCCGTCCGGTCTCCCCGGGCGGGGTGGTCGCCGCGCCTCCGGCCCCGGGGGCTGAGACCCGGTCCCTGGAGCCCCCATCAGAGTGGCCCGACTGGGGCGCCGGCGCGCGGGGCGCGGAGCCGGGAGGCGCGAGCGTGCACTTACCGGGTCCGGGGCGCCGAGGCGGCCGGGTGCGCAGGGGGTCCGCCGGGCCGCGCGCAGGACACAGACGGCCGAGCCCGAGGCGGCGCGCTCCCCGGCGGGTGGCAGCTCTGGCAGGCGGGCGGGCGGGGCCTCCCGGAGCCCGCGGGCGCCCCGCCCTGTCTCCGCGCCGCCAGGCTGAGCCCGGGCCCCCCGACCCACCCCAGACCAGCCCCCTCCCACCCGGCCCTCCTCTGCCCAGCCGAGCGCCTCGGATCGCGCCGGGTAGGCTCAGGGTCGGCAGAAAGTCCCTATTACTACAATCGCCAGCCAGACAGACAGACCTTCCCGTGGGAGTTTGCAGTGGGCCGGCGAGAAGCAAGAGAAAGGCATTCCGGGAGACCCCCACCCGCGGCCAAAAGCCAGGACAAACGTCCCTTCCAACAGCTCCCAACAGTAACTCAAAGACGCTCACAACCCAGCAGACTCCTGTTAGCCGCATCCCCCACCTGAGCTGTGTCCACGCAACCAAGCGCCAGAATTATGTAGTGTGGGGGTGGGGGGCGTCCAGCTCTGAGCAGGAAGTGCAGCTGGGCATGGGATAGGTGCGGTCCCCGCCCGCGGGAGTCAGTCGCTGGGGCTACCCACGCCTTGGTCGGGGCACTCCAGAGTCGTTGGGGGCGGAGGGACCGGCCACGAGGGGCAAACTGCACAAGGGCCCAAGTGACCTGCTAGCCAATTTCACAGCCGCTGCCCACAGCATGGGGGGGGGGGGGGGGGGCGAGGCTGGGCCCCGGGCCATTTCCAAATGACAGGCCCGTGGAAGCTCTGGGGGATGAGGTCCAGGCTCACGCTCTGCAGGCGGAAAGCAGAGGAAGAAGGTTCCTGATCTAGAGCCTGAAGATGCTCCCTCGGCTTGGTCTTCCTCCTTCACTCTCCTTCTTGGGTCTTGGGCTGGGTGCTGTCCTGGGGAGCAAGTCCTCAGAGGGGTCCGCCGACGCATGTGACATTCCAGGGCTCAGCTCAGCCGGCAAAGGCCGAGTTGGCACCTCCCTGTTTCGTGGGTACCGGTACAAACCCACCCCAGACACCTGGGAAAGCCTAAAGTGCCCTTGGCCTGGATGCGTTAGTTGTACTCTGCGAAGTCTCTTCGGCGGGGTGGGTCTGAAACTTAGAGAAGCTTTATGCATAAACCGTTCTTTGTAGATTTTCTTGCAATAGCTAGAATCTGAATGTCTCAGAACAAAAAGTGGTTCATGAGGGTACCTCGGATAGACTAAAAAAGCACAGTGTGGATATTGTCGGCTGGGCTTATGTGGTAGCTTATGTGGGATCTATTTTCTTATTTACACTATTCTGTATTTTCCTTTGCCTGTTTGTTTTTGTTCTTGTTTTTGTTTGTTTTGGTTTTTTTGCAATAGCTCTATGTTCTTTAATATTTAGGGGAAAAAATACGTACAGTTTATCTGGAAATTCCCTTGGGCATGCTGTATGGAGGTGGTCTCTTTTTGCCCATCTTTCCACAAAAGACTCCACACTAGGGGGAAATGGATAGTGGATTGAAGCAAAGTTTGTCCTGTCAAATTTGTGTGCAGCCCTTTCAGGGCAAGCCTGCAGGCCAGGTGACCATGTGGGGCGCACCCCACACCAGCTGTGAGATTACTGTGTCCCCTGGCGGGGGAACGGGGCCTGCCCACCTGTCACCTGTCACCCAGTGTGTATGGCAGTGTTTGCGAAAGGTGTGACATATGTGAATGGTGTCGCTCTTAATTCTCTTCCTGGTTCTCTCCATCCCACAGATGATGGGTTATTTCATTATGATGATACCATTTTTGTCATTTCTTATTTGTAATGATAAGACATGATTATAGCCAAGAAAGACTGTATTTTCTCTCTTTTTTTAAAAAAGATTTTACTCATTTGAGAGAGAGAGAGAGTGTGAGCGCACTAGAGGGAGCAGGGTAAGAGGGAGAAATAGAGCAGGGAGCCCGATGCGGGACTCGGATCCTGGGAACTCCGGGGTCATGACCTGGGCCAAAGGCAGTTGCTTAACCAACTGAACCACCCAGGTGCCATGACTGTGTTTTGTTTCTTGAAATGGTTTCTCCTTCTCTCTTTCTCTTCCTGCTTCTACCTTTCTAGACTCACCTTTCTCCCACCTTACAGGTGTGACCAAGCTTAAAATAATCATAACAATAGAGCTACAGCCTGCATAGCCCTTGGGTGGGTCATTTCTCTGCTCTCTCTGGTTCCTCCACCTTTTCCATTCTTCTTGGTCCCTTCAGTGGGAGCTGGGTCTTGGGGAAAGGGTGGCAAGCGTAGACCCCTGCTCTTCTCAGTGGGTTTACGTTCCTCTTCTGTGAGTTCCCACCTCACTGCAGGGGAGCACCTGAAGCCAGAGATCCAGCCACTCTTCCTTCTTTCTTAGGAAAATCCCCTATCTCATTTTGCAACTTGGCTGTCGTGCATATGTTCCTGACCTTGCTTACATGCTCTAGGAGGGAGAACGGCTCTGCCATCAGACAGGACTGGTCTGCAGTGTAATCCACCTACTCAGGATGATCTTATGGACTCTGGACCAAGATATGTAGACACTTCTTGGCTGTTTCCCCTGGCTGTGATTCTGTTGGTGTCCAGATGCCCCTGCATTAGCTTCAGGATATCCCCTGGCCCCTGGCCCCTGACCCCTCTTTCTTCCTGCTTTTTCACCCCTCTATGCCATGGCTTCTACTGTCCCCTGGAAACCCCCATTTGTCAGTGAGAAACACCTGTAAGGCAAACAACCTTTCTTTAGTAGCAGTGGAGCATATCCAGAGTGTGGTCACGTGCTCACTTACGGTATTTCCCCCAGAAGGACAAAAAGAGGAAGGGCACTGAGGTCCTCATTCTCACCCCACTGGTGACAGATGAGGTGCAGAGTGATGGCAGAGAGCCCCACCCTGTACCCTGCCTGTCACCTGGGGTGCTGTCATGGACAGCTGCCAAGGCTGTCCATGGCTCCATCAGCACCTCATACAGGTGGCTCGGCATGACCGCATCTTCTCTGATGGCCACATGGTGCTCTCATCTCTTCTGTCCTCCTTCCCTTGGCCAGCATCTCCCCATCTGATTCACTCAGTTGTAGGAACCTAGCCTCAGTTTCCTCCCAGGGCTCCTCTTTGTGTAGGGACCCTGCACACCAGGGGCATCCCTTTTAAACGCCACAGTCTCCTGGCATTCTCCTAACACCCCCTAGAGGATTGCTCTTGTTCCAAAAAGAAACCATCCACAACCTGGGTACAGGCCATTCCAGTTCCATGACCTTATTTCCCACTGCTCTGCTCCTCCAAGCTTCCAGACCAGCAAAAGTCATGCCTCTGTTTTTTTGTGCACAACCTGGCCTTCCCCCATCCAGACAGGTTGATGATTGTCCCCTAATTGGCTCCAGGATATTTTCAAATCCCAGATCTTCAGCAAAGGGTTAAAATGTGGGGTCAGTGACCAGTTCTGAGCCTCTTGGCATAGAGTCTGTTTGCTTTAGCTCTGAATTCATTTTTCAAGATGAAAAAATTGAGATCTCTCATACTAAACATCAAGATGTCTGGCTTCTCTTATAAAACTCAACAGATCTAGAAACTTTATGCTCACTTTTGGCACAGCGACCAATGGCCGGGGCTGCATTTTCTGCAAAGACATGCTAGAGAGTTTACCACACGCCTTCCCACAACATATCCTCCCTGACAAGGACAATGAGCAGGACCCACTTACTCAATATACTGCCTGTCTGTAGGTATCGAGTGGGTCACTTCTGTCCCAGGACATTCCCTCCCAGGACAAAGCCCCTTGTCTGGCTGGTCCTTCTCTTTGCATGCCTGGGAACTCATTTCTGCACGTGTTTTGTCCCAGCCGGTTCGCTGTGCTGCATGTGCTCTTCGGCTGTATCAGGGGTGAATGCTTTGTTGATCCTTTTAGGACAAGTGTTCTTAATTTTTCAGGAATCTTCCTGGGAATTTGAGAAAAGCTATAGCTTTCCTCCCATCTCTCCAAAGGCACAGATGTGCAACATTTTGCCTACAGTTCAGGAGATGGGAGGACCCCTGGTGTGCTGGGAGATTTGTGGATTCCACGTTACGAACTGCAGGGCAAGGACTATCTTTTCCGTGAAACCAATTCAACTCTGTAGGACTGAGTCTTGGGTCTTTACTGTGTACTACGCTCAACAAATGCTGAGTGTTCCCCAACTGGTGGGCAGCAAGACTGTCCATGAACATAGTTGTCCAAGCTGCCTCTACCTAGATCCCGGGAGCACAGCACAAGTTCTCAGCACCCTTGAGTCACCCAAGGAAGATGAGACATCAGCTCCAGAACCCACCAAGTCAGGCATCACAGCTGCCCTTGCATTTGACAAATAACCATAACCTTCACCTTGTTATGAAAAGAACACAAATCCAATTAAGAAAGACTTTCCAAAAGAAATAACATCGGTGTGCCCCCCCCAACCCCCTTTTTGTCCCAGAATAATGCTATGCTGATAGAAACATGATAAATTAATTACAATCTGGAATGCTATTTACTGCTAGGAAAGAACACTAAATCAACAAATACAGTGTTTGACATTTGAATATAAATATTGCCCTTATGTTTTTGCTTTTTTTTTTTTTTAACCCAACGGACCAGTTTACGCAGGATTATATGTATAATCCTTTTAAAGCCTAAGGATTTAAAATCACGAAAGTAACAATGTGCTGGGTGTTATAGTCAGCCAAAGAACAAGGTAACGCAGGAATAAGATTAGGATCTCTTCAGTTCGTTGCATTTCTGATATTATTTTGGTGTTCCTCCAATTCCTTATAACACAGAAACACTGTTGTGGCCCACGTCCCTGAAATGGAAGGACATTGGCAAGCCTGATTTGGAAACCAGTGCAGGCAGCCTTTCTGGGAATGTGTGTGAAGGTCACTTTTTAGTAGAAATGGGACTGTCCACAGCCATTGTCATGATTTCTGTGCTATTTCAACCAGGCTCTTCTGCCAGGCAGTCTGGATTAATGAGGATTAATCCTCCACAGGGACTGAAGGAAGAAATCAGAGGTGGTGTCTGGCATGACTCAGAGGAGGATTGGAGGAACTATATTCAGAGGAAGTCTTCAGAAGAGCAAA